CACCAAAATCACATTTTTTATTTTCTATTTTCCATAATTAGTAGTAAAACATACACTTTAATTTATTTTGATTTTGAATTTAATTTTTCAGTCCTAAACCATAAAAGTAAAATTGATGGGTGTATTGATTAGATTTTAGGGTGCATCTAAATTTTCTTTGCATACAAAGGGTTTTCCATTTTTTCCTTCAAACTGAGCTTCGAAAGGCTAAAAGCCCATAATAATTTGCCCAAATCCGAGAGTCCAGGATCTAAAGTTTATAAAAAATAATCAAAAAAATTTTATATAAAAAAAATAAATGATAGTCAGATAGTCTGTCGTTACACGGCGTCGTTCTGTTCGCCCAAGAACCCATCTCCCTCCCTCGCTGCGTCTAGTGAGAGAGAGAGAGAGAGCGAAAGAAGCGAGAGAGAAGAAAAGAAGCAGTTTAGCACCACCTGAAGAAGGTCCACAGCAATACCCTAAAACCTAAAATCTCCCAAACTTGTGCTCTAGGGCTTCACACTTTCCCAAAATGGAAGGCGACGACGAGACGTCAGGCCCAATGATTGACGACGAGATCTACGCCAACGGCGTTGGCGGTGACGACGAGAAGCGCAGCAGACCAATCATCAGCAGCGAACAACTCGACGTCGAGGCCTACGCGAGCCTCTACAGCGGCCGCACCAAGATCATGCGGCTGATTTTCATCGCCAACAAGAGCAAGAGCAACCAGGCAATGGAGTTGGAGGCTCTTCGCATGGCCTACGACGAAATCAAGAAGGGAGAAAACACCCAGTTGTTCAGAGACGTCGTGCAGATGATCGGTGGGAGATTGGGACCCGACTATGCGATGGACTTGGCTTGGTGTGAGATGGTGGATAGGAGGGCCGACCAGAAGAAGGAGAAGCTCGAGAACGAGCTCAATGCCTATAGGGTATGCGGTTCTGTTACTCTGTTTTCTTTGTGGTTATCTCTGGAATGTCTAGGGTTTTTATGATTAAATAGTGTATAGGTTGCCTATGGGTGGTTCTACACTGTGTATTTGGGTTTTGTTGGATTTATTACAAGTTATTGTTTAATTGTTTATCTGTTATTGTATCCTATAATTCTCCTGTGTGTAGGAAAGAGATGTTAATATGAGAGGAGTTAATGGCAATGCCTTTGTGTTTTCTTCGTCTTGTCATAATATTTTGTTTTCGGTTTAGGTTATGTCTAGGAATATGGTTGTAGATGAGCTGTTCTAATCAGGATACGGGAGAGTCATTGGTTTGTCTCTTAGGCAATGTTGGGTACTAAACGAACAACTTGTTCACTACTCGAGGTTAGCTTGATTGCAGTTGTTTTGGTGGAATAGTGGGAAGATGTTATAAATGAAAATTTGTGGTCTCGTCAACCGAGTCAAGCTGTCAGCTAATAATCAGCTTCAGGCCCAAAATGGAGGTTTTCAAATGCAACATTATCCTTGTTTTAAGGCATGAATCAGTGTTGCAGAGTCAGTTAGGTTTATGTGTTGTATGTTTCCCATCTGATGATCCTGTTAGAACTTATTTTTTAGGATAAATTTTATCAGGATTTAATGAGTTCTAATATGCAACATCAAGCTTTTCTGCTGGATTGTAGAGTCTCGATGCTTATTTTCTATTTTTAATTGCGGGAAAATGCACTTGGGAGCTTTCTGTCTGAGGGGTTGTTATGTGTGTTTTTGTTGCTGGTTTGTTCCTAAATCATGGAATAAGTGCAATTTCTCTGATTGAAGCCTCTTTGATTCCCATTGTCTCTTTCTTTGATCTCTCATTCTGGCTTTGAATGATTTTGTGCAGACAAATCTTATCAAAGAAAGCATAAGAATGGGTTACAATGATTTTGGAGATTTTTATTATGCTCATGGTCAACTTGGGGATGCCTTTAAAAATTATGTTCGTACTCGTGATTATTGCACTACAGCAAAGCATATTGTTCATATGTGCATGAGTTCAATTCTGGTCAGCATTGAGATGAGTCAATTTGCTCATGTCTCAAGCTATGTTAGCAAAGCAGAACAATCACCAGAAGCCCTTGACCCAGTTACTGTTGCAAAACTTCGTTGTGCTGCTGGATTGGCTCACTTGGAAGCTAAAAAATACAAGCTTGCTGCTCGTAAGGTTTGTTTGAAATTATATTATTGTTTCATTTAATCTTAAGGTCGTTTTTTAGATACATATGAATACTTGTATTTTTGTGCTTTAAGATAAGAAGTTGTGAGTTTATGATATCTGCTTTTTTCTATTGGTTAGTCATATTGTGCTTGGTATGGTGATATTATTTACATTTTTAAAGCCTTTACAAATATTTAGTGATGAGCTGATTTTGTTCTCTTATTTTCAGTTGTAATCTCTCTGCTCTTGTTGGGCAGTATTTTTGGAGATTTTCAGATGATATTAAATTTATGCCTTCAAAATCAAAAGAACCAGTTGGGAATTAATTATAGCTGATTTAGTGTTGCCTGGTATCTAAGTTTTAAGATGGTCCTGGTTCCCTAAATTTTGCCCTTGTGGCCCATTATTTAGAAAGATCAGTTCCATTATCTATAGTTCTTGTAAGACTTCTATGGTTTTAATCTATCTTATTCACTGTGAAATTACAGTTCTTGGAAACCGGGCATGAATTGGGAAACCACTACAATGAAGTGATTGCACCTCAAGATGTTGCAACATATGGTGGGCTTTGTGCACTTGCAAGTTTTGACCGAATGGAACTGAAGGCATATATTCTTTCTTTCCTTGGACTATCTTTTCCGTTGTTTTTTTATGATTTCTTGTTTAGAAGTAGAGTACACTTTCTCAGTAAGCGATTTTATTTGACAGAACAAAGTTATAGACAACCTGAACTTCCGGAATTTTTTAGAGTTAGTACCTGAAGTAAGGGAGCTTATCAATGACTTCTACTCAAGGTAATCTATTGTGATGTAATCTTTTTAGTTGTCTAATTGCTGTATCTATGTGTCAATATTGGCAATGTTGCTGCAATGTGCACAATGCCATATGGTAGAAAAGTGTCAAGTCCTATTAAGAAATAGTGTGAAAATTTATAGGTCTCAATCATGCAAGGATCTTAACATGAGTTTTTCTTTTCGAACATTATTATCAAGTTACATTAGACCTTGCTTATTCTTGACATAATGCATCCTGTAGGTAATGAAAGAAAGTACAAGGGAATTTTAGCTTTATATGTATCAAGTTGAAATGATATTAGACCTTGTTAACTCATTTCCAATGAGTTAACATTTTTCAATTCGTTGTTGGGAGTGAGTATGATAAATTGAAGGATTAGTTGGCATGCATGTGCAATTGTTTTAATCAGTTGACAGTGGTGATGGTCTGTTGTCTGATTTATGTTCAGATATTTCAGTTTCAGTAACATGTGTTTTCTATTCTGTTGTAGCCATTATGCTTCATGTCTGGATTACCTTGGGAATCTCAAAGCAAATCTGTTGCTTGACATCCATTTGCATGACCACCTCGAGACACTCTATGGTCAAATCCGCCACAAGGCTCTCATCCAGTATACGCACCCCTTTGTGTCTGTAGATTTACACATGATGGCCAGTGCTTTCAAAACTGATGTTTCAGGGCTAGAGAAAGAACTTGAAGCTTTGATCACTGACAACCAAGTTCAGGTGGGTTTTGCAATGCCATCTGCTTTTGTATTTGACTAGATAACTCACTCCACGGTCGTTTGTCGAATGGACCCCATATATGCTATATATTGGTTTACCTACATATTCTGTTCTTGAATCCCAATGCTGAATCAGTTTTTGTGCTAGGGTTTGGGGTGGGGATGATGTGAAACTTCAGATCTAGTTGTTTTGCATGTGTACATTTTTGTTCTTTATTGACCTAACTCATGATGCCACTGCAGGCTCGAATTGACTCACACAACAAGATTCTATATGCACGACATGCGGATCAAAGGAATGCAACTTTCCAACGGGTGCTTCAGACGGGCGATGAGTTTGATCGGGATGTTAAGTCAATGCTGCTTAGGGTGAATCTTATCAAGCACGAATACAATCTCAAGGGATCAAGGAAATCCTGAATTTATTTTTAGACAGTGTTAGTCTGGCCAGGGTTTGCTTGTGCTCTTTTATTTTTGACATTCATCTGCTTGGTCAACTAGCACGGCGGAGGATTTGACAAATCTAGGAGACCAGGATGCAAATATATGCGACAATTACCAATGTTAGATGGTTGCTGTCTTGTATATTCACAGATTTTTAGTTTTCATCTTGATTCAGTTGCAGTATTTATTCAGATTATATTCTCTCATCCATTGCGTGCTGCTATTTCTTCAGTCTCTAGGTTTCTTCTCTCCGTTTGGTTGTTTAATACGTATGATCCCTCTGAATGACCATGTCAAATGCCAAAGTCAAATACTCAAATAAAAAATCGAAATCGAAATTGAGATGCGCCTTCAAGTGTCTAAATCTCAAATTTCAACACTCAAAAGTCCGGCCAAGTTTGAGATTGTGGGCAGTTTGGTCGTAACAATTGTCTAACATTTTCCAAACGTTTGAAAGAAAATGTTAGGCAGGTCCAGAATGGAGATCTCCCTAACATTTTCAAAGATTTTTCTTTTTTACATGGAAAAATAACCCCCTACACATTTTTTTACTACACTTCCAATTTTATTTTATTTTTGGAATATAAAGAACATCAATATCTTATTTACCTTATTTATTTTTACATCATTTAGTGATTAGAATTTAATCTAAGTTTTAATTACTAATTACTACAGATTATTGATCAACATCATCTCATAATTGTAAGCACAAAAATAAAAACCCTGTCTTGGATGCCATTAATAATAAATTATTTTCTTGTTGTGAAAGAGATTAAGGATTACAAAGTTCAACTTAGGTTGACCTGCTACTTGACTTGCTAGTCTACTTATGTTGGCTGAAATTAATACCCATCCTTTTCTTTTCTTTTCTTTTTTGGCCTGAAAATTTTAATTCCCATCTTGTTCCCCTCAAATTATATATACTGTTTTAATAATTACTCTCAAAAACTTTCCTTTTCTATTCAATATTGGGAAGCAGACAACTCCTGGATATTATAATTTTTGTGACCTCCTGAAATTTTCCCATCACCTTCCTCACAGCTGTCCATCACATGCTACTTGCTTTCAAGTTCAAATTCAAGGCTTTCAACTCTTTGGGATTTCACCCAAATTTTCCTCACCACATCTGTAATTGTAGCCCCCCACCCCTTTTTTTTCAACAATAAAAAAAGGAGAAAGGAAATCTATCAAAGGAATAATTTCTCATCTCTATAATATATTAGTATTACTAGATTTATTGGTTTAAAAAATTAAATTAAAATGGAGAGCCACCGGTAAGCGACAGAGAAGAAGAGCTCTCTAGACTCCATATTCATCATCTACAGTCCCACACTCCTCCACCGCTCACACACTCTCTCTCCTCTCTCTCACCTCTAAACACATAAACCCCAACAACCCACCAATTCTGCCCAAACCAACTCAAAATCCCGTCTTTTTCAAAACCCAGAAGCCAATTCCATCCATTTCTCCCGACCCGAATGCCGATTTGATCGGATCCGACTCCCACTTGATCCGAGCCCAAATGGGTCACCTGAACCTGCCCGCATCGAAGCGGAGCCCGAGGCAATGGCGCCTCTTGGACCTTGTCTCAGCGGCCTTCTTCGGCATAGTGATTGTCTTCTTCCTCCTAGTCTTCACTCCCTTGGGTGACTCGCTTGCTGCCTCGGGTCGCCAGGCTCTTCTCTTATCGAAAAATGCCGATCCGAGGCAACGACACCGTTTAGTGGCGTTGGTGGAGCTCGGGCAGCACCAGCAGCCCATTGAGGCCTGCCCGGTCGATGCCGTCGACCACATGCCGTGCGAGGACCCCAGGCGCAACAGCCAATTAAGTCGGGAGATGAACTTTTACAGAGAGAGGCATTGCCCTCTGCCTGAGGAGACCCCTCTCTGCTTGATCCCACCTCCCAATGGCTACAAGATTCCGGTTCAGTGGCCCGACAGCTTGCACAAGGTGTGTGTGGTTTTGGGTTCATTTCAATTCTTCAATTTGCTTTTTTGGGTTAATTGCATATTTTGTCGTTGAATTAGCACTTGAGGCTGTTTTATGATTGAGCTTTTCGGTGAATGTTTGAGGATCTATGAATGAGAGGTGGTTTCTCCGAGACTAATGGTGTTGGTGGTATAGCAAGTTTAAGCTTTTGATGTTTGCAATCGAGCTTGTTTGTTAAGTTTTTCTATGCACGACTGTTACACTGGGAACAAGAATGCAAGTCTCAAAATATAAAGTTGTGTAGAACAAATAGAATTATTGAATAGGAGGATCTGTGCATTGTAGTTAAGGAACTTTGTAATATGTTAGAAATTACAAATCTCGCCATGCTACTTTTAGCTACTTGTTCAGGCCAAAAAGAAAAGAGATTGTAGTAGCTTGTTGATAAATCTTAGTGCTGTACTTTTCTCCTGCTAGCACACTCTTCATTCTCTCCCTGGCTACCACAGCTGCTCAAGAACCTTTGACAGCCTTGTGTTACTCATTTTTGGTTTTATGTTCTTGAATTTTGAATTTAAGATCCATATAGGATTTGATGGGCCAGAAATAACTGTATACAGCTAACTATATAAGTGAAATCTAGACTGCTTATGAGGGGCCTTTTCTTTTATAATTACTGATGGCTCAAAAATGTGATTGTCTTTCAAGTCCTCTTCTTGTTTTGGAATATTTGCCCAGTGTTTTGTAATCAGAGATAGAATGAGTTTCATTTGATGTTCTATATCAAAGTCATAAAGCACCACCCCATATTTCTTTTTTTATGTGTCTTAAAGTATTGTAATCTGTGTATAGATATGGCACAGCAACATGCCACACAACAAAATCGCAGACAGGAAAGGTCATCAGGGGTGGATGAAACTGGAAGGCCCACACTTCATTTTCCCTGGTGGTGGCACCATGTTTCCAGATGGAGCTGTACAATATATTGAAAAACTTGGACAGTACATCCCTATCAGTGATGGCGTCCTGCGAACTGCTCTCGATATGGGTTGTGGGGTAAGAGCAATGTTCCTTTTTCTTGAGACCGTACTAATTTTCTTTTCGAATTTCACAAAATTTTGATGCTGTACAGGTTGCCAGTTTTGGAGGGTATCTTCTATCCAAAGATATTTTGGCAATGTCATTTGCTCCAAGAGATTCCCACAAGTCACAGATACAATTTGCATTGGAAAGAGGAATTCCAGCATTTGTTGCCATGCTTGGCACTCGCAGGCTTCCATTTCCTGCTTTCTCATTTGATTTGGTGCACTGCTCTCGATGTTTGATCCCTTTTACTGCCTATAGTGAGTTCTTTGTCACCTGTAACCTCTCATATTGTTACAGTTTTTCTACCCCTGCTACTTGCTCTTATCATAAAGGAATCTGGAATTTTGCAGATGCCACATATTTCCTTGAAGTGGATCGTTTACTTCGCCCTGGAGGATACCTAGTAATCTCCGGTCCTCCTGTGCAGTGGACAAATCAAGACAAGGAATGGGCGGATCTCCAGGGTGTTGCAAGAGCATCGTGTTATGAGCTGATTGCTGTGGATGGAAACACGGCTGTCTGGAAAAAGCCTGCTGGAGATTCATGCCTTCCTAACCAAAATGAATTTGGCCTTGAATTGTGTGATGAATCAGATGACCCAAGTGATGCGTGGTAACTGTCTCAGAATCCATTCTTAGTTTCTTAGTTTTTCTTAGTTTTTCTTCCCCTTCCCCCAAATGGAACCTTTATTTTGGTATGAAGTGATTGTTTTCCATTGCTATGTCCTTTTATAAGTCTGGAAAAAATAAAAGTACAAACTCTTGCCGTCTAACCATTGCAGCATGTTGGATACAATTTTATTATCAAAGGTCATATTCAAAAAATTTATGGAATTGGTACCAATAAACTCAATTTTTTTATGCAGGTATTACAATTTAAAGAAATGTATGAGTAGGACATCTTCTGTCAAGGGAGAATATGCTGTTGGGATGATTCCAAAGTGGCCAGAGAGGCTGATAAAAGCTCCTGCAAGGGCCACACTCATGAGAAATGGCATCGATGTGTTTGAGGCTGACACGCGACGTTGGGCGAGAAGAGTTGCTTACTATAAGAACTCCCTAAACCTGAAGCTTGGAACTCCAGCTGTACGCAATGTCATGGACATGAATGCATTTTTTGGAGGTTTTGCTGCTGCACTAAAATCTGACGCTGTGTGGGTGATGAATGTTGTTCCTGCCCGCAAGCCCTCAACTCTTTCTGTAATCTTTGACAGAGGTCTTATTGGAGTATACCATGACTGGTGAGTGTTGTATTATTTTTCCTCCAATGTGTTCCACACATAAGTCCTTTGATGGAGCCCTTTTTTCCCAGTCCAAGTCAAGTCACATTTTTCCTCCAATATGCTGTGTCAATCCAGGATTAAATGTGGTTTTGAATTCTCGGGTGAGAGTATGCATCTTACAGGTCCCATTGTGTATATTTTAATGCCACATACTTAAGTAACATTGCTCCCAGTAACCATTGGGAACCAGTTGATGGCACAATAAAAAAGGTTTATAGTTCAAGCTGCTGCGAATAGTGCACTTTTTATGCTATCCTGCTCTTATGCCTGCTTTAGTACTATATCCGCAAATCTTTCTTATATTATTTTTTTCCAGTCGGGTTACGTTTTAGAAAACAGTGAACCTGCCCCATAACACAGTTTGAATTCCGTAATCTGTAAATTATTGATCAAAGCAGTGATAATTTTCTGTACAAAAGGGAGCAAAAACTTTTAATCAATATTACTGTAACTATCTTAGATGTTAGTCCCTGTCTCGTTTGTATGCATTCTTTTCCTAGATTAGAGTCCTCATTTGATCATGTTATGCAGTGCTCTGGAATTGTGATAGTATTATGGATAGTTTTATGGAACTTCTACTGATGAGCTAATATTTTTGCTTGATGGTCTCAGGTGTGAGCCTTTCTCAACGTACCCTCGTTCTTATGACTTCATCCATGTAACCGGAATTGAATCACTCATAAAGCATCCAGGTTCCACCAAGAACAGGTACTTCTACAGTTCTAGTTCCTATTCTGTTTCTTGAATCTACCGATTCCTACATTCTTACAGCAGTATTAAACCATTGCACATGGTTCAGTGTAATCCTAAAGTGACATTTACATATATTTGGCAAGATACTTGATGAAGTGCATGATTGTTCTTAAACAACCTATGCTCACGTCTCTTGATTTTTCTGCAGCTGTAACCTTGTGGATTTGATGGTGGAGATGGATCGAATGTTGCGTCCTGAAGGAACGGTTCTGGTTAGAGACTCCCCTGAAGTAATAGAAAAAGTAGCTCGCATAGCTCATGCCGTAAGGTGGACTGCAAGCATACACGAGAAAGAACCAGAATCACAAGGGAGAGAGAAAATTCTTGTTGCAACGAAAACATTTTGGACTTTGCCTTCAGCATCCAACTGATGTGAAGGTTCATCTCCATGCATGGATGCAGTTTCTTTCTTATCCACCACACCCTATTATGTAAGGAGATAATAGGGTTAGAATAGGGAGGGCCCGAAAGATGGGAAGACATGCAGCTTTTTTGTTAGATTACACCCAAAAAAGAAGAAAAAACAGAAGAAAGTAAAAAAAAAAAAAGTGGCAATCATATGTTCAGTTTCCAAGGATAAATGTAATTTGATATTATTTATTGCCCATCAATTTGATGATGCTTTGCATTATTGCATTTGTCCTCAAAACATTGTCGTTTCAGGGAGAGAATGGTAGCAGATCGTTCGATAGATTCAGTGTTCGTGCCCTGTTCACAGTGTGCTAATGAAAATGACAATTGCTCCCAAAGTCAAGATGTCATCACATTCTACTGATTGTTTTATGCCGAAGGGTATGTCGGGAATTATAACCCCAGTGAGCAAAATGAAGGATTTTTTCTGTAAGAGTGCAGAATTAAGATTTTTAAAATTCTCAGAGGGTACGAGAAGAATTTGAGTGTTGATAAATATAATGGATACAATCAATAAGATATTTTCTTGAAATGAGCTAAAGGGTAAAAAATGGTATAAAAAAAAAACAATTTAAACAAAAAAATTTCCTTTCCTTCTTTTTCTTATGACTTTTCTTGCTATCCAAACAAAGGAAATTCATTTTTCCTTCTCATGTGGGAGAGTAACTATGCAAGTAGATGAGTAGAAGTAGGTGCCAAACTCCCACCGGCGTCTTAAGTATTCATTCCATTCCCATTGGGTCCTTTCATTGAATGGTGAGAAAGAGAGAAAAGAAAGAGTAGGAGGCCCGGATAGATTAGATAGGCGGTAGTAGATTAGATAAATGCAAGTAAACGTAGAACGCAAGCTCAGAGTTGGGCTGTTTCCTTCAGATGATAGCTACAACTGACAACACCCAGGATTTTATTTCTGCTTTTACTTTGAGGGCATCTTCCCCCACAGATGGACCCCATCAAAACCAAGAAATTGCAGAAAAGACTTTTCATAATTAAGATGGTGATGCAGGTTCAAACTAAGAAAATTCGTCTTCAAACTCTCACCCAATCAGTACTTGAACTGCTCCAACTGGGTTTTTTCAAGGCCAGGTGTGAAAGGAAGTGCATAAAATGAATGCTTGGGGAATAAGTAGAAGAGGAAGTAGTTGTTTTTTGTTACAATAAGGAATAATTTGGGGTCAAAATAAAATCAATGAATTGGTTTATTTTATTTCGAAGTGGTAACGCAAAGCACTTCTAGACGCTATAGTTTAGTCGTATGTGTACGCGTGATTGATTTCTAACTACTGATATGAAACTCACATGCGTTTACAATCAGAAACCATCTACTCTCGCATAGACTTATTGGTATCGTAACACTTCTCTTATTTAATAACTACGACATGTGAAGAAAATGATTTGCACTCAAAATGGATCAACAATAAATTATATTAACGTTTTCAGGAAAAAAAAAATTACCGTTTTGATAGTATTTGTATGAGTTTTCTCAGACATTTTCACCACTTTCATACAAATATAGCCCTTTCAATTTTCAGAAGGAAACAAAAATTAAACACTTAAGTATTGTAAAAATGATCATGGACATCACAATTAGCACTCTATTATGGTCTGATTACTGTTAATCTGGCTGGGAGGCTGAACAACAAAGTTAGAGTTATGCTTTGCCTTGTGTTCATACGAGGAAGGGAACCAAGAAAATGATCAAAGGGTACATGAAATTTGTAAAGGGTTGGTTGTCTGTAGTGTAGTTGGCAACTTCGCAGAATACTATTATTGACTTTCTGTGAACCTAGTTTTTGCTATTATCCCATCCTTGTTGCTTTCCTTTCACACCTTGAAGAATTAAGGAAGGTCAAAGCTGTATCACAATGCAAAGCTTACAATGAGATTACATGCTGCAAAGGAGAAGAGACCACATTACTTACCAGAAGTTGACAGATAACAGTAATTATTATAATAAGCAAGCACTCAGTCAAAGTAAGTGATGCATGATTAAGAAGGCATCTCAAGTTCAACATCCATTATTAATTGATCCAAACAAGTCAGAAGATGAAATGCATGCACACTTTTGGATTGCTGAAAGGGAATTTAGAAAGAAAAGTGAAATGATTGATCCTGGATTGGGCATATACATATATACATACGTATGTGTGTGTGTGTGTGTATGGGCTGTGCATATATAGGTTTTGTCTGTCAGGAAAACATAGCATGTGCTGTGCATGCCCTTTTAGACAGAGCTAAGTCCATGACAAGTATATAGATGAGAGCAACATGGCTCAACATGAATGTGATTTTTCAACCAGGGTTTTTTTTTTAATTAAAAAAAATTGAAGCAGGGTTTACATATAGATACAGAATTTAATCCTTACACATTAAGGCCATCTCCAATCATGTTCGATCCAGGCAATATATGTGACGCTATTTCATCTGTGTTTTTGCCTAGATTGGTATTATGGCCCGTTTGTGTACATGATTGGAGAAGGCCTAAAACTGAGGCTCAAAATTGTAATGCATAGATACAGTACATGTCAACATAATAGAGTGATTAGTTTTCAACCATTGAGCTGTAAATCTACTCATTTTTTTGTTATATCTATTAAGCAGCAAAGACCATTTGAGAGCAACCTCAAAAAAGGACCCTTTTTCATCTCTCTTGGTTTTCAAACAAGAAGATCGATTGAAAACCAACCAAGAAATAGTTAACTGCGTGTCCTTTACTTCTGCCACATATTTTCCTGAAATCAAACAACCTAAAAAAATCACAGATTTTTTTTTTTGTTTTTTTTTTTGTTTTTGTGCTGTCTGTAAAATACCTTTTATAATTGTTTCTGAAAAACTACTTGGGAAAATATATCATGAAGATGTTTGGTTGGCAACATTTGTTCAAACCTTTTTGCTCATTTTTTTAAAAAGAAAGTGATGTGTCATACACCTACTTTTTATTTTCTTTTATCAGTTATGGAAATTAAATAAAAAGGATTTTTATTTTAACGGATGTGATTATCTAACTCCCAAATATATATCGTTGAAATGTGAAGAACTTTAGAGCAATTCATGGGCACGGCATGGGAGGTGAAATAACTTTTTATTTTTTCTTCTTTCTTTCTCTCTCTCTGTTTTTTTTTTTTTTTGGGTGTGTTTAAGAATTGTTAGTCATTAATCTCCAAAAGGTTTGGAGCATATATTTAAACTCGCATCAATTATGAGGCTTAAATATCAAATAATAATTCAACCATATAATACATCACATAAACAATATTATTAATGGCTAACACAATTCTTTTACTCACAACAGATGATATTCATTTACTATTAAACTCATCCCTTTTTTTTCTTTTTCTATTGTTATTAAAGTTTCATTGCTTGGGGTGAAAATAAAAGAAAAGAGGCAAATGTCATATATTTCGCTTGTGCTTTTGAGAGAAAGACGATAATTGTATTCATAAATGCAGGAAAAGCGAACATCAAACAATCAGAATCTAGAAAGACCAAGCATGATCTAAGGAGATGGGCACAATCTCAGCATAATCAAAGAAAAACATCCAAAAATACCAATGGAGTTCAATGTAATTAGTTAAAGCTGGGAGATTTCCACAAGACCCATCAATGAAACCTCTTAGACCAAGTCTTTTTAGACATCATGTGTCTCCTTTGCTACCCACAAATCAAGTCTTGGTCAAATTCATTGTAAATTTTATTTGTTTTTATTGTGAAAATGAGTAAGATATGAAATAGAGAGAGGGGTTAAAAAGGTATTGTGATTATATATTTTTCTACAAAACCCATGCAAAAAAAAAATCATCACATGCAAGGTGCAACAAATAGGTGGAGACCCCAAGTTTGTTTGTCAAATAATTATTATGGCAAGTGAGGAACAAGTCAATGAATTAATGTTTCAGACATTGAAGTTTCAATTGGAGAAAAAAAAGGTTCACAACTGCACCCTTGAAATGGTGATTGTGGGTTTTTTTTTTTCCTTGACTGGTAGTTGTTTGTGGATTTGGGATGCTTTTGTGGATTGTGGAGGTAAATGGGTTTATTTGTAAAAATGGTTTGTGGGGAATGAGGGTTTCAAAATATAACAACAACTGTGATTGAGAAATAATAGTGTAATTATAAGGTGACCAAACCCCATAAAGATAAGAATTTAAGGAGAAAGAGACGCAAAGAGAAGACAACTAGAATTTTATTTGCCCTCCGAAAAGAAAGTGGAACTGGCATTTGAAGGGAAAGAGATAAAGAAGAACGATAGTAACTCTCTACACGAAGAAACTTAAGACAAGAAAAAAAAAAAACTGAGGAAATGGAAACTTTCTTTAAACCTTGAGATTAATATTAATCAGAAATTCTTTACATTATTAAGCAAAATTAAGACCTACCACCACGGTTAGCTATGGTTTGCGGTGACTAACAAAGGGCGGCGGTTCGTGCTATTTCTTTGCCAATGATTTAACATTTGGTTAGCTTCGTGTAGAGCTAGTTAATCATAATCCGACTGTTTTATAATCATGTCGTGTGTGGATTCACCCACATGAATGCATAAAACGTTTAAGAACAACATAGTGCTCAACCTAAAAAAGCTCTTTATCTGAGTAAGTACTCTAGCCAAAATATTTAAGAAAAAATTGAATCAAAATAGTTTGTTAATTGGATTTGCTTTTTCACCTAATAAAACATTTGAAAAGATTTTTCTTCATCCATTACTCATTACCCAAAAATTGTATTCCTTAGTTACGCATCATTTTTTAAACGGAAATGAGTGATTTTTGACGGGAAAATTATTTTCAATGACTCACATTAACTGTTAATAAGGAATAATTAGATTCGACCGAATGACCTAAATAATGTAAACGTTCAACTGCATGCTCAAAATTCATGATGTGACCAACTGTAAAGTATTTTTTTTTTTTAGCATGAAAACTAATTAGGCCTCTTTTAGGAAGTGTGAACTGAATTGTTATTTTAGATAAGACTAAATCTGAAATGGACTGAATTGTGAGGATATTTTTCCATATTTAGTATTAATATTGGATTTCTTAATTGTCCAATTTAATTGCATACCATGTTTACTTTTACCAAAATTACATACCATTATCAAATGAAACTATTATAATGTTTTTAAGGAACTGTCATATTTACATTGTCTGAAGAAGGGACAGTAAGAAAGTTAAATTCTGCAAATCTAGATCTTTGGTGGAAAATTCAGACCTCTAGCAAAGCAAA